GCACAATTTGGACACAGAGTAATAATAATAACAACAACAACGACGATGATGATTAATAACACTGCTTATTATAATTATTAAAAATAATATTTTATTTAGTAGCACTTATACTACAACTTATACTACGACTATACTACAAATATAAATGACTAAATCAAAACAGTAGAAAATATTACTATTATAATATATAACTGTAAAATAACAATTAAAAATAATATTTATTAATATATTTATATTATAAAAACAGTATTCTTCCACCAAACAATGTAGTTCCTCAGAATAAGTTGTGGTTGCAACAGACAAACGTAAACAAAGGTGCTTCGAACGTGGCTCAGCCAATCAGAATCAAGGATGTACTATTTATGGTAGTCTTAATTTTTTTACTATTCAAACGTTAATCCATCCTGTAAACTCATTCCCTTCCCATATGATTTCAGCTAGCCCTTATGATCGACTATTTCATTCTCAAATTGAGAACGAAACCGCTGAAATAACCTTTGTTGGTGATTAACTGTTAATATGAGCTGTCCAACAAAGCACTAAGCCCCGTGAAGCCGTGGTTTACAGTGAATTTATAACAGCTATAAATCCGCTTCGCGTCGTACCTAAGAACACCCCTTAGCTGTTATAAATTTACTGTAAACCACGCAAAGTTGCTTCGAACGTGGCTCAGCCAATCAGAATCAAGGACCGGAACTATAAGGAATAAGGAATAAACCTTAATGTATCAAAATATCTGTCTGTTATTGATTCAGACGAGCTGGAGAAGAACTACGACGAGGTCACGGTGAACATGATCATCGCTGTGGTGCAGGCCATCGGCTTCTCCAACTCCTTCAACAACCCCATCATCTATGCCTTCATGAACGAGAACTTCAAGAAGAACTGCGTGGCCACTCTTTCTGCGTACCTGCGGCGTCCCGTCCAACGGCCCGACCTCAGCGTGCACTTCTCCAAACACCTCAAAACAGAGGCCTTCAGCAGGAACCACGCCAACCCGCAGCAGAACCCAGCGCTGACGTCTTCACAAGGAGACCTGGAGATATCCACGGCGTTCGCCGAGCAGAACGTCAAAACCGCTTCGTCTCAGCTTCCCTCCAGCAGCTCCTGCGTCAAATAAACTCAGCACAGGCGGATCTGATGACAGCAAAAGCAGCCTCATGAGTTCAGGATAACAAATGCATGATGGGAGACGCAGATCGAGAAAGAGACGTGCTGGAGGTTCATGAGCAGCACAATGGAAACACAACAGACTGACCTCACTTAATCGTCATTGTTTACTCAATCATGTCATTTCAAACACAGATGCTGTTGTTTTTCTGTGGAACACAAAAGGGTAAAGTCTGCAAAATCTGCCGCAAGCACTGAGCCTAAAGGGACATGGAGATGAAAAAATAAATACATGGGAGGAAAAATAATATTTCAGTGCTTTCTCTGAGGGACCTAAAAGAGTTATTTTAGTTTTTTTTTTTTTATTATTTATTGAATATTTTCAATTACATTTGTATTTACTTAATTCAAAATATTAAACATTAAAGCTATAAAACTGAATAATATATATCTCAGTAATACTAAAAGTACACTTATTTTTATTTTTTTAAAGGTTTAGTCAAATTAAATTTTTGCTATTTTTATCTTTTTTATTTCTATAGTTGATTAATTTTAGATTTTTTTTATTATTTATTTAATATTTTGAATTACATTTGTATTTACTTAATTCAAAATATTAAACATTAAAGCTATAAAACTGAATAATATAAATCTCAGTAATACTAAAAGTACACTTATTTTTATTTTTTTAAAGGTTTAGTAAAATTTAATTTTTGCTATTTTTCTTTTTTTAATTTCTATAGTTGATTCATTTTAGATTTTTTTTTATTATTTATTGAATATTTTGAATTACATTTGTATTTACTTAATTCAAAATATTAAACATTAAAGCTATAAAACTGAATAATAAAAATATCAATAATACTAAAAGAACACTTATTTTTATTTTTTGTGTCATTTATTTTACATTATTTACATTTTTGCTATTTTTAGCTTTTTTAATGTCTATAGTTTTGATACATTTTTTATTAACATTTTAGATTTAGTTACTTTAGTACATAAAAAAAAAGAGATGTAGCAATAGGAACTAGCTGAATTTAAAAAATATATATACATAGTTCATTTTAATTCAGTTTATGTTTACTTTATTTCAGTTAATGTCAATAATATATAGTAACAAAAGGGATATCATAATTTTAGTTAACTATAACTCTAGAATGCAAACGTTTTTTAGGGGAACAAATGTTTTGCAAGCAAATGCAAAAGTTTTGAAATAGTTTTTCCTCCCATCTCATATATATATATATATATATATATATATATATATATGACAAATAACGACAGAACACTTTTCTATGAACTATTTGAGATACACTTTACTTGATGCCTTTATGCATAAGTATTCATTATGCACAATATAATGCATAAACAACTGTAACCAATGTGAAAATGCATTATAATATTTGCAGATTCTTTGTTACATTTGAGTTTGTTTGTTGTGCGTTTTATTGCATTATACTTTCTAAAAGTGTAACAATGAATATATGAGTATTATAACTTTTTTCACAATTACTCATGTTATCATACAATGCATAATAAGGTACATTAGAAAGCATAATCAGTGCATTCAAAATACCTTTATAATGCATTATATATGGAGGCTTCAAGTAAAGTGTTGGTTTTAAAGTCTTGAATAACTAATAGAGAAGGACACTAAATACTCCACTGGCAGCTCTGCTCTTTAGAGGCAAACAACTGATTTCCTCGTGTGGACTTTATATAGAAATGTTTGAACATTAGTTTAGAGCGAAACCATTTGTGATGAACAGCTGGGACTGTTAAATGATTCATGCTAATGACAATGAACTAACGAGATTCTCAACAGGGTGAAAATGTGCTTGTTAAAAGTGGTGACTGTGTTTTTGTGGTCTGTAACAGATTCACGCTGCATTACAGGTGTGTTTTAAGGGCACTTGCATGCTCTGATGGACAGGAACACGCATTGACTTCAGAAAATCACACGATGGAGCGTCACATTTGTCTGTTTTTGATGAATCTCAGCGGCTTGTTGTGTAAAAGCATGCAATATGCAGGGTCTCAAACGCATTCACAGCGTCTGACAGTTTTAATAATGCACCAAAAATAAATAACGTGAAGCAATGTGCTGCTGGTGTTATCGTAATGTACATTTTATTCACACCTGATACATATTTACATTGAACATGGACGTCAGTCTTGCCTGTTTGACGAAACACAGCAGCAGCGCAAAGAAAACGAAACGAAAACCGCACATGCATAAATTAGATTTGATTGCTAATCTATAAATTCAAGTGCTTCAGTTAAACTTAATCACTTAGCCTTTAACAAGTAAAAAATATAATCTCAAATGAGAAAATAACAGGGTCGAATGTTCGCAGGAATCCCAACATAAAGGCCTATTATCATCGAGATAATATCAATAATCAGTGATTTCAGTCTTGCTGCAGATTCATTCATCAGAACATCATTCCCACCGTTTCAAATGAGAAACACTGTTTTGGCAAGGCCGAGAAACCCTAAAGGCACAAAATGATTGATTTGAACTGTAAAAAACCTAAGAGGTGCAGAAGAGCTGGAGATCTGCAGCAAACGCTCGTTACGCTCCACATCACAGCCGGCAGTTTATAAGGCCAGAGGGATGTGGAAATCAGGACTGTCGAAGAGCAAAGGCCTGCGCGGGGGATTGGGCTCCTTCGTGGCGCTGTGTAAGAGTTTAAAGAGTCCAGTGCCGATGTTCATGGGGATTCCCATTATAATGCATTCAGACACACCTGCAGAATGACACCAAGACAGAGGAATGAGTCAAGTTTGCAGATGACAGCTGACATCCAGTTGAGTTATTTGGGGAAAAAAACTAAGAAAATAAAAATACATTTAAATAATATAAATAAATAAATAAAAATGTAACAAAAGATAAATAAATGTAAAAATAACCAATTTTAAAATATGGAAAATCTCAGTTTGCACTGCTAAAAATAACAAAATTGCAGGGTACATCTAGGAAAATAACATTCGTTTTCTCACATTAGGAAAATTTGTAATAAATTATTTTTCCATTAAGATTTTCACATTTTGCAGCCAATGCATTTCTTATTAGAAGCTCATTACTGTAATTTTGTACACCGATATAATTATTAAAATTAGACTAGTATAAATTAAAGGCAGTGCAACAATCATTATGTATAAATACTGAAA